AGCCTGGAAGTTCAGCAAATTCATGGCCATTTTTCAAAATCAGATTTAATTGTCCCATGGATTACCTCTCCAACCCTCCTTCAAACAGAATGCATTATCCCTTCCCCTAAACCTGGACACACAGTTAAGGAATTTTATTCATCATACTTACTGGTTTATGCCTCTGCCTACACATTCAGCCATATTCTGAGGACAAGAATTAATTCTCATTCATCTCCATAGCTTTACCATGGAGATAAGAACCTAGCATATATACTCAACTATTAAATAAATATTTGATGAATTCAATTTCCTTTAATGAAGATATAACTTCATAAGTACTCCTGGTCTTCAGCTCATCAATATTCCATTGTATAAAACAGAGCTTAACAGTTATCCAACATTTCTACTTGACTTCATATTATTTTGATCTAATTCAATCCTATTATTTCTTCCCTAGAAGATTTTCAAATCTGTATCTTATACAATAAGGAACTCTTCTGCAATTCAATACAACTAGGCATTCAGGAAAAGAAAAAAAATTCTCATACTTTTCACTTAATATTTTTGACCACTTAATCTTAAAAATTCATTGGAATAAGAATTTTAAAAGTTAGGCTGGTCCTACACAAGTCAGGATACACGCCGCCTGAAACTTGGGCTACTTAAAAGGCTGAGGAAGGAGGATTGTCATGTGAGAGGACAGCATGAGCAGCCTAAAGATACTTTGTCCTAAAAAGATGGGGGTGAGGTGAGGAATGGGGAATGATGTAGCTCAAAGAGCACTTGCATCAAATGTTTAAGGCCCTGAGTTCAATCCCAGTACTGCAAATGAGGGGGGAAAATAGATAACACAAGGATGTATCCCCCTCCAAATTACTTTGTTCTGAGTAAATGAGATTAATAACTGATTGATCTGCATTACTAACCATTTGCAGACCTATACCAAATGAAGCTTTCTTTTCTTTCCTATATGAACAGGTTACCTTACCTGGTACCTGTTGTCTTTCTTCTTTTTACACCTGAGGAAACAACAACTTGGCACCATTATTGGTTTCTGCTTTAATAAGCACAATCTTTAGTTCTAGGATAAAAATCCATGTGGCAAGAAGACTGAAATTTTTTACATAACCAAACTGTTCATCTTTCAACTGTCACTTGGAATTCTGACTAATGGGTAGGAAGGGGTTAAAGAAAGGTAGAAATGAAAAACTAGAAAAAAACACAATTCTAAGAATTACCCAATATAAGATCATAAATTAGTACCAGAAGATCTTAAACTGGCATCACAAAAAGATTTTGTCTCATCAATAATTCTTTTAAATAAATCAAAAAAATGCAACTATAAAATGTTGTCATAAGAATGTAAAAGAACTTCATCTCATATTAAAAGTTGTCTTTTCACAGAACATCTAAGAGTGTACAGAAACATTATAATAGGTAAGTCTGACTGAATTAATATGGAAAAAAAAATTTTAATATTAACTTCCACAAATGATATGAAATTTTATATCAGAATGGTAATTCCCCTAAAAGAAAATGAAAATTTAAGGCTTATGATTTCAATCTTATCTGATGATGGAAAACACTAGTTTTAGTAATGA